CACACACACACACACACACACACACACAAATATACACACACATAAATATATATGAGCTCTGGTTGCCTAGTGGTAAGGAATTGTGCTGTGAACGCATAGGCATAGATTCGAATACACCAGTTGTTCTGCAGTAGAAAGATGGGCTATCAACTCCAATGTGATTGACTGCCTCTGAAAACCAGGTGTGTGTGTGTGTGTGTGTGTGTGTGTGTGTGTGTATGCAAAATCTGGTTGGTGTTCTTCCTTTCTTTCGCTGACCCTTCACCTTCCCAAGCATGATGCCGCTCTCCAAGGAATAGACTCTTCTAGCAACATGCCAAAAGTATGTGAGATGAAACTTTGCCTCCAAGGAGTGCTCCAGTTGTACCTTCTCCAGGACATATCTGTTTGCTCTTTTGGCAGCTTGTGGGATATTCAGCACTCTTCTCCAATACCACAGTTCAAAGGCATCAATTCAGCTCTGTCACCCTTACTAATTTTTCAGCTCTCAAAAAAATATCAGGTGACTAAAAAGACCATGCCTAAATCAGATGAACTTTAATCCTCAAACTGACTGCAACTATTTTGAGAGGTCCCTTGATTGCAGATTTTCACAATGCAATACATCTCCTTATCTCCTGACAGCTGGTACTAGGAAGTAAGATGAAGTAGTTGATAGTTTAATATTTTTCTCCCTTTATCATGATGTTGCCTATATGTCCAGTGGTAAGAATTTTTATTTTCTTCAATCCATGTTGAAGGCTATATTCTCTGATCTTCTGCAGCAAGCACTTGAAGTCATCTTTACTTTTAGAAAAAGAATATATATACCTTTTTTTAAAAAAAAAAAAGAAACAATCTAAATATCCACCAATAGGAGAATGGAAAAATAAAGTATGGCATAGTTAGTGTATATTTCAGAATACATATAAAAATAATAAGAATATATGTATGTGTCTGTGTTTGTGTGTCTCAATAATAAGGCGACCAAACATAAATAAGGAAAACTTTGGAATAAGAACCACAAGTTGTACAAGTTATACAAGTGTTCAGGTCTTTTGTTCATAAGGTCACTATGAGTCATCTACAACTTGATGACATTTAACAACAACAACAATGAGAGAGCTCAGTTGGCCTAGTGGACAGAAAGTGATTACTACTAAGCCAAAGGTGGGTAATTTTAATCTGTGGCCTTCAGGCCTGGTTTTAATTGTGCTTTATCAAACATTCCTCTAAGTGGTATAGCACTGGTCTGTCCATTTGCTGTACAGAAGTAACTCATGGTTGCTGTGATGCTGAACACTGTGGCACTGATGTGTCAATGTGATAATGGTTACCCATGGCAGACAGTGTTTAGTGAAGCTCCCTGATTAAAACAAGCTTGAAATCAGGAGTGGCATCCACTTCCAAAATAGCTTGCCTCCAGAAACCCTATGAATGTGGAGAAACAATGAAAGTTATGCAAGTGTTCAGGTCTTTTGTTCATAGGGTTGCTCTGAGTTGTCTATGACTCAACGGTACCTTAACAACAACCACAAGTAGTTGAGTGTTAATCTTTTAATAAGAAGGGGGAGATTTTATGGGGTTGTTGTTGTTGTTTGGTTTTTGTTTGTTTGTTTGTTCTTGTACTTTGGACATGTTACCACGAAGGATACATCCTTTAAGAAGGATATAGCATGATTGGTAAAGTAGAGGGTCAACAAGGAAAACAAAGAAACAAAAAATTATGATGGATTTATAGTGGCTATAAATATAATGACTAATTGCATAAGGCTGAACAATTTTTAATTCTGTGATATTAAAATGAACTTGATACCTAGCAATAACAAGGAAAGCCATGCATGCTGTGACTCAGCAGTGCAATTCTTAGCTATCCACCTAGTAGAAGATAAGCATGTGCTCACCAGAAAGACACATACAAGAATTTTCAGAGCAGAATTATTTGGAATTACCTCTAGCTAAGATCAAATCAAATCACCATCAATAGAAGAATAGATAAATACACTTTAGTAGAGATATACAATGAAATAACACACATCAACAAAAATAAATCAACTATAACTAGGAACAACAAAATGAATGAATGTCACAAAAATACATTGGGCAAAAAAATCTAGACATATGTAAACGTATGCTACGTGACTACTTACCGTGTTCTTGTTATGTGGAATCAAATCTCTTGCAACTCTTAGTGATCCTATGTACAATATCTCTGAATCCTGCTCTATCCTGAGCCAACCTTATTGTCTCTGACACACCTGCTCCCATTAACCATGTCACTAAGTCAATCCATCTCATCCAGGGTCTTCCTCTCCTGTTCTGTCCCTCCACCTTCCCAAGCATGATATCCTTCTCCAAGGACTGGTCCCTCTAGCCAACATTCCAAATAGCTTCAAAATCCTTGCCTCTAAGGAGCAACTTGGTTTCATCCTCTCTAGATCAGATCTGTTTGCTCTCTTGAAGTCCATGTTCAATACTCATCTCTAGCACTACACATTATTATAGAAGCAAATAAATAAGCAAATGACAGTGTTTAGGAATGCATGTTTTGGTGGTAAAGCTATCTTTAAAAAAAAACCAACAGAACATTATTATTGTAAAACCAGGAGAGTGACTAACTGGAAAGTGGTGGTAATGATTAGAAAAAGTCCTGAGGTGGGCTTCTAGGGTTCTGCAACATTTTAATTCTTCATCACATAGGTGAATGCTTGGTGACCAATGGGCTATAAATAATTTTGTCATATACCTTTTTGTTTGTACCCTTCCACAATAAAAAACTTAATAAAAGAATCTACTATAACATCTATCCATGCCAATAAACAGAAAAAAAAAACTTTAAAAAGAAAAAACAAATAAGAAATTGGTCTCCAAATCTGTGAAATCTTGAGTACAAAACGTACTTTGAAAGCTTTGGCATTTGTTGGGTTGCAAGCAGCACAGCACAATCCCCTTGGAATCTCATGTTTTGAGAAAATACAAAGAGTATTTGGCTTCGCTAAACCAAGATCCAATCTAGAATGAAGCCCCAGAGGACAAAAAGCAGACTTCTAAGTCTAGCACTGGAGCTCTGACCTGTGCCTGGGACATAGTTATTGTTTCTAGTTGTTATCCAGTCAGTTCTGGTTACAGCTGTCTTGGCTGTGACCTTAACAGAAGCAAATCACCATGACTTTTCCTCTGTAGTATTTCTGGGTGACTATAAACTACCAACCATAAAGTTAACAATAGAAGACAGTTTATACCACCTAGGCACAGGACATGTTGATTCATAATACAAGTAAAACAACAGTTGACTTCTGTCAAGTCGTAACTGACTAATAACTGAGCCCTCCAGTGGGTTTTTAGAAGCTGTAAGTTCCACAGGAGGAAAATACTCATCTTTCTCCCATAGAGTAGCTGGTGGATTTGAATTGCCTAGGGACAGCACAACTCCCTAGCCACTGTTGTTGTTTGGTGCCATCGAGTTGATTATGAACAGCCACTCTGAAGACTGTTCTATCCTGTGCCGTCTTCATCATCTCTGACACATTTGAGCCCACTGCTGAAGTCACTGTGTCAATCCACCTCATTGGGGGTCTTCCTCTACTTGACCCTCCATCTTTCCAAGGAACATGTTCATTTCCAAGGAAATGGCTTGTCTAGCTACATATCCTAAGTAAGGGAGACAAACTTCTCTAGCTTTGCCTCCAAGAAGCACTCTAGTGGCACTTTTTCCAAGACGTAAGGGTTTTTATGGCAGTCCATGACATAGCAGTAGGGGTTCCGTAAATACAGATTATAAGAAGGGGTAGAAAAGGGTACAATGGGGAGGAACAAAAAGACAAACAACAATGATAAAACCAACCCAAACCTACTGTCATTAAATGGATTCTGGTTCATAAAGACCCTGTAAGGCAAAGGAGAACTGCCCCATAAGTTTTCAAGGCTGTAACCTTTAAGGAAGCTTACTGTCCTATCAAGCTTCCACAAAACAGCTTGGTGGTTCTGAACTACTGACTTTTAGATTAAGATCCACTAGCTTTAATCATTGTGCCATCAAGTTTCTTTGAAATGGACCAGGAATAGCTAATTTGCTCTGGGAATTGGCTCAATGTCAACAGGCTTGGATTTGGATTGTTTTTTGTGAGGGATTTTTGGTGATTATGAAACCTTAAATTTTATGCTGATTTATTTACAAAGTTTGAATACATTGCTTTTCACCTTCCCATTTCCTTCACCCCTCACCCATTGAATTGTGCAACCTTATGATTAACACTCCCCCCCCCACATCCTCACCCCTCTGCTTGTACCCTTTCCCCACTTTGGATTTTTGGGCTTTTTTTTAAATACTACTAAAAAGAAACTCTATTAGCATGATGTGTTACATGTTGCACTGCTAATCAAAAAGTCAGTGCAATTCAAATCTACAAGCTGATCCACAGAAGAAAGATGGGCAGTCTCTTCCTGTAAATATTTAGTGTCAGAAACCAGATGAAGGGTTGCTCTGAGTCAGAATTGACACAATGGCAAGCAGGCTTTGTTTTAATACTGTAAAAAAGGCTGCTTTTGCTACGAGTAGGTTTGCATGTTTTGAATTCAACTGTCAACAGGTATATAGGTCCTGGATTTGGTGGGAGTCTGGTTCCTGTACCTTTGGAAGGTTAATTGGGCCTCTGGAAGACCTTGACATGTTATAGGGCTGGAGGGGTGAGGGCAGTGCTGAGGTGCACGCAACCACTAGGGGGCACCCTCTGAAGGGACCTAGCGAATAATCCTGAGAAACAAAAGCATCAAGTATAAGCTTTGAAAGTCTCCCTTCTTTGTAGTTCCTATCCATTAGCTCAAAGGCTGGTAGAATTTACGGAGAAGTTTCTGCCTTGAATAAGCTGATGTGGGAGCCCCATTGTACCACTGGAGCACCGTGGGAATAACATCAGAAGCCACTTCCAGATGACAAAGGAGTTCTGGTGGCTTGGTGGTAAGCAGCTGCCCACACAAAGGTACATGGTTCAAATCCACTAGGTGCTCCACATGAGAAAGATGGGCAGACTCCTCCCATGTCATTTATTGTCTCTGACCCTCTGCTGAAGGGTCAGCTGCGGTATAGTTCCTACTTTACAATACACAACAAGAAGAAGGGGTACGAGGTAGAGAGGCCCCAGACAGTGGTGTAGCTTGAGGGTGACATCAACACCAAAGCAACTCTGTGTGCATGTCAGTCTTCCCTGTAGCAACCCAGAAATATTCCAGGATAAGAACCTAGTCTAAGCCTGGCCTCCCTGCTTCCCTGGATTGATAGGTGATAAGAAAGAATATCATTACTGGGTATCAAAGGGCAGGCACAGGCAAGCTGAAGACCTCCAGGGATATTTGGGTTTCACAGGTGGCAAAGAGATAAGAAGGGGCAGAAAATCCCAGACGCACCAAATGCATTCAGGAAAGGGCGTCTGTGCAATGCTTAGTGCTTCCGTTTTAAAGCCGCACTTTGCATAAATTGGCAGAGGCAGAGAAGGACCTGAATTAGGAATCCTTATTTTAAGAAAAGAGGCTGCACCCAGTGCTTCTCATTGCCTGATTTCCCCAGAGGAACAAAACCCTCACTTCCACAAAAGCTTGCTTTTCTTTGCACGGTGACTGGCGAGAAGGGAGAGAGGGAGGACCGGCAGCTGCAGGCAGCACCCCCACCGCCCAGCTCCTGCCCTCTGTGGCCCTTCTGTGCTCTGCAGGGCTGGGTGGTGCCCAAGGCAGTCCATGTAAGAAGAAGGGGCGGGCCTAGGGGTGGAACCTGGTCCTTAGAAAGTCCTGACTTAGGAGAAGAGTCTGGCAGAGTTTGTTTAGAATGGGAAGCTTGGAAGAGAGCAAGGGAGAGAGGAGAGATAAAAGAGGGAGGAAGACAGGGAGGAAGATAGGAGGAGATGCAGACAGATATAAGAGATACGGAGGGGAGGTACAGAAGCAAAGCATTTCTAAAGGAGGAGAAAGAGAGCTAAACAAAGAAAGGAAGAAAAAAAGGTCAGAAGGCAGGAAGGCAGGGACAGAAGAGGCAGGAAAAGACACAGGAGAGAAAGGACACGGAGAAGGCCAGTGCATGGAGGGACCTTCCACCTTGTCCTTGGGTTTGGATCCAGAGGGCTGAGCAGCTGGTGGCAGAATGTAAGCCCTTTTGACTGAAAACTAACCAAACAAAAGCCTCAATTATTTTAAAAAGCCTGATATCCATCTCAGCATTGTCTGCAACAAAATGAGTTAGCTGGAGAAAGAAAGGGGAGGGTGGGGGCCTAAGGGTTTCTCTTGCATGGTTGGCCATTGCTGGGTCAGGGTTGGTGGGGGTGGTGAAGGAGAAGGTAGTGGGGATGTGTGGAGGCCTGGTGTTTGTTTTAGTCCCACTGTGAAAAGCCACTTGCTGAATTCAGTGAAAAATAAGGCCCTATTAGTAACCTGAGCCACTGCTGACCCTGGCCCTGTAGCACCCAGGGTTACAGTCTCCCAAATCTTTCTTCCAGACTGCGCCTGCTCAGCTGTGACACAGAGTGAGAAGGCAAGGGGCAGGGATCATGGTGAATTCTCATTGTAAATCAGAGGCTGGGGGCACTTGACAGCGGAAAGGAGAGGAAGAGCCCTAGCAGACCCCAGTCCAGCTCCCTCGCACCTGCCACGCAATCAGGTCCTTGAGGCGGCTCAGCTTGTCCTGGTCCTCAGGGTGGTCCCTGACGTACTCTTCCGTGAAGAAGGCCTGCGGGAGACAGAAGATGATTGCATGTTCCTACTTACAGGAAGGACCTAGAATAGGTAAATGCTTCAAGATCAAAGAAGATTCCCTGTTAACAGGTGCTTTGGGAGAGAAGGATAGGAGTTACTGTTTAGAGGGCAAAGAGTTTGTTTTGGGTGATAAAAATTTGGGGGAATAAATAGCTCAATGTTATAGCTCTAAATTAAGGACACTGACTGTAAACCCTCCTCCTCTCTCCTTTACCCAATTATCACAATAATATAAAATAAAAACAAACAAACAAACCAACCCACAAAAAACCAAGGTGGCCCAGCAGTTTGTGGTTTCTGCACATTAGGTAGAGTTTTGAGATCCAACCTTTCTGGCACCAGGAGAAGATTTGATCTGGGACTGGCGAGAATGAGGTCACATAGATTTGGATGTCTTTGCAAGAGTCAGAGACTTACAGGGAATGATACTGTTTCCTCCCTCTGGAGATTCCAATCAACTCTGACCAGGAATGGTCACAACCTCCATATCTAAACCCCCTTCATGCTTTTCACCCCCAAGCTTTGTTAAAGTCACTTGGGAACTTATTAGAAATGTAAATTCTCAGGATTCACCCCAGACCAGTTGGATCCAAACCTCTAAGGGAGGGAGCAAGCAAGCCTGCATGTCACCAAGCCCTGCTGGGGTGTCCGATGCACATTCGGGGTGAGAATAGAGTTCTTGGAGCAGAGAGCTCAGGGAAAGACCAACTTCACCTGGTGGGTGTTCAAGACTTAATTTATTAACCTTTCAAGGGTATTCTGGAGGCCTAGTGGTAACTAGGAATTATACTGTCAACCTAAATACATGCAGTTCAAATACTCCATCTGCTACCCTGGAGAAAGGTGGGCAATCAACTCTCATGCCATTTACAGCCTTTGAAAATCCACCAGAGAGTCAGCTATGAGTTGGTTCTGACTCATACATGATGACAACAACAAGGCTATATAAAGATAATTGATAATGATTATATGATTATCTACAGTAGTTGAAAAGATTGATTTGAAAACCATTGAGTAAAACTTTAATTACATAATTGTTTTATATCCTTGCTTTTACCTCAATAATACAGGAAGTAGGAAATTTCACTATTAGATTTATTAGAATGAAAAAATCCATTTTGTACCTCAGTATCCCCTACAGTATGCGTCCTGGGTCAAAGCCAAGTAAGTGAAGAATTTTTATTCTATTTCAATGTCAGGAAAATCTATGACCCTTCTCTATTATGGAGCTGATATTTTTTACTCACTGGATAGATAATGTAACTCATATAAGTAAAGGTCTTTCCCTTTTTTTGCAGTGGACACCGGTAAGCTCTAAAATGAAATCTCTATCACATGTATGGAAACTTTTGTAAAGGCTTTATGACCTGGGAATCAATCTAGATTCTAACTTCTTTCTTAAAACTGATCTCCTAACATTTCTATTTTCATAGATTCTGATTTTCATTTCATTTGTTAAGATTGTTTCCAGATTCTTTATGGAAGAGATGGACTGACACAACATCATGAACTGTGCATTGATGTGCCCTGGCTCACAATCATATCAAACAAAACCACTCCTCAGTGGAGGTACTGGGATCTGTCTAATGGGAGAAGGAGACCTTGGGACATCTGCTTCTTCCTGTTGTAGCACAGGACAGGACAATGAACAATGAGGGTGGGCAGGAAATGGGAGCACAGCTAAGGTTTTAAAAACTTTGGAAGGTGAATGAGGTCCCACCAAGCAGAACTGTGTCTTTAGGGAGCAAGGAGAGCCAGTTAAGCCAGTGACACCAGAGGCAGATGCTCCTTGCCCTCTCTCCACCCCTCTGGCTCCCACCAGGCCTTGGAGTGCAAATGCCTCACCTTCTCATACTTGGCGAAGCCTCCCATGACAGCAGGGTCCACGATTCCATTCAGAAGCATGGAGAGTGGGTTGATGGGGAGGCTCTCGTCATTCTGGTATTGGTTTATCATCATCAGGATCTTCTCATTGGCCGTGGACATGGTCTCAATGGCGTTCTCCAGAGGACTAATTGTGGTCTGTTGAAAACCAGATCAGGAAGAAAATGCCTTAGCAAGTTGCCTTAAAAACAGCTAATAATTATTGGTGGTAGTTTCATTTTGGGTTGGAATCCAAATGAGTCCTTTGCTCCCTGAGGGGCTGTAGCTGGGTCTTCTTGTAATTAGTGAGCTCTGGGGGCTGCCTATGTCTAGAGAGAGGCAGGCTGACTTTCTGCTTAGTGTGAATGTGCCTTCTCTAGGGAGGAAAATGGGAGTGCTGGGGTTTCCTTGGCAAACTCACAGGAAGATTTTTCTCTTTTACTTTGACAAAACCAGACTTGCACATCAACCCAGAAGAATTTGGATGAGTACCTACTACGTGTGAGCTATTGGTCAGAAGGTCAGAATAGCTGTGATCATTCAGCCAGGCACAAGCCCACCAGACACTGTGTCTATTCCGACTCGTGGTGACCCTTTTTCCAAAAATGTCTTAGGGTGTTTGTTTGATATTCTTGTCTTTGTATTTCAGTTTTTGTTAAATTTTGTTAAAATTTTATACTCATTTACCTAGAAAGTTCGTATACATTTTTCCCCATATAAGACCTATCCCATTCTTTTACCCACCCCTTCTTCCCATCAACTTGTGCAACTTATGATTACCCCCTGACCTTCAACCCATGCCCATCCTCAGCCCTCTGCTCCTCTACCCCCACCTTACTTGGCTCCTCATACATGTCTATAATAATGTTTTTATACAGTATTTGTCCTTAATGGGATTGAGTTAGTTCACTTAGCATAATGCTCTCCAGTCCCTCCCAGTTAGGTAGGGTTATACAAAATCATTGCTCCCAAGTGTTGCATTATATCTCATCATGCGAATGTACTATAACTTTTTCTTTCTTTTTTTTTTTAATGAATGTACTATAATTTTTTTTTAATCCATTCAATTGTGGTTGGACATTTGGGCTGTTTCCATGTTATTGCGATGGCGAATAATGCTGCGATGGACACTGGTGTACAAGTCTCCCTTTGTGCCTCAGCTCTCATTTTCTCAGGGTATATTCCAAGCAGGGAAATAGCTGGATCATGCGAAATTTCTGGAATTGCAGCACAGCTTCTTATCAGTAGGCTACCAGAACTCTCAAATAGGGATAAGAAAGCATATTACAGAGAATTATTAATATATATTGCTATGAATACTAGCATGTGTCAGAAATAAGAAGATATGTTCTAAGAAAAGAGAATCTATTGGTTCAGACCAACCCTAGAGGGATTCTATGGGCTAAGGTGCAGAGCACTGAAAAACAATGAACTTGTAAAACAGAATTCAACTCTGAAGACACTGTGCTGAGTGAAATATCTTAGCCACAAAAGGATAAATACTGCATAGCACTATAGCACTGCTATTATAAAATAGGACTAACAGAGTGGTTGAGGGGAAAATGGAAAAGAGTGGCTAGTTAATGAACATAGTATTGGAACAGATGAGGGGATAAATCTCTGAACCAATAGATGAATATATGATTAGTCAATATATGTATGACAACAATCTGGAACAAGGGGTGCATTGCAAAGTGGACTGGAGGCAGAGAAGAAGGAAAAGAGAGAAAAATGTGCAACAATAAAGTATTGAAACCCCAAACTCTCTGTAAACTTGGGTTAAAATCACAATTAAAAAAAGTTCGAAGGAGAATCTATCAAGCCACTCAGATTAGCCTCCTCGCTGCTCTATGGGTTTCAACAAATCCATTACAAGTAGGTTTGAGGGCAAATAAGTAAAAACTGGAAAGATTTATTGATTGGCATTTCCCCCACATTTTTTATAGGTATTTTTGAATTCTAAAATCCTTAACCTCATTATAGCTATCAGAACCAGAGAATGAAATGAAAATAACTTTAGTTCTTTACCTAAGGGCATTTTTGTAGGAAAAAAATATATATAATTCTCAGAACAGAATTATGGTAGAAAGTTTAGGAGTCAGGATCTGATCATAAGAATAATACTAATAATTATGATAATAACAATGGTGCCATTTATATGATTACCTGCTATGTGCCAGCCCATACTGGATATGTCACACATGCTTTCTGATTTAGTAGTAAAGTTGGGGAGAGTTCTGATCTCAGAGGTCAGCTTTTCTTGACACACTCACTGGTCAAATTATTACCAAACTTGCCAGTGATTTTTAGAACTCAGACAAGCCTCCAAAGAACTGATCTTTTTCATAAACTGAGGCTCAGATTCTATACTTATACATATATAAAGATCCTGGTCCTATTTTCTGTAAGGAGAAAATGAATTCTCAAGGAAGAGAAAGGAAATAAAAGCATCAGACAAAAATAGTATGACCATAATACCTTGCATTTTATTGGCACTTCATAATTTTTCCAAGTCATTGCACCAATATTATCTTCTTAAACCTTCCAAAGAATCCCATGAGCTGCATTAGATGGGTGTTATTATGCTCAGAAGCTGCCTCTGACTGTTTTGTAGTTCAATCCCATCTGTGGGTCTTTGCTTCCCTATATAATCATACTGGGCAAGAACCAGAAAACAATCGCAAAGGGACATCTGCAATCAAACTGGGCCTTAAAAAGTCTATCGTTTAGCCAGAACTTTGAATCTCTTTCCAACCTTTTTTTATATAGACTCTAGCTTTTCAAGCTGAAGCTGAGGAAATTAAACTGAATCCACAGGAACCAAAATATGATTTTGAGTTCATCCCACCTGAGCTTCTAACCATCTCAGGAACAGGTTTGAGGCCTTGAACACTAATGAGCGAAGACCTAATGAGTTGTGGGAGGATGTCAAATGTATCTTCCAGGAAGAGTGCAAACGGTCATTACAAAGAAAGAAGAGGGGGGAGAAAAGACCAAAATGGATGTCAGGAGAAACTCTAAAGATTGCATTGGAGTGCAGAGAAGCCAAAGCACAGTGAAGATTCAAGATACTAAAGAGCTGAGCAGAAGATTCCAAAAGGCAGCACGGGATGACAAGTCAAAATATTACAATGAAATGTGCAAGGAGCTGGAGTCACAAAATTAAAAGGGCCGAACTCATTCAGCATTTCTTAAGCGCAAGGAACTGAAGAACAAATTTAAACCTCGAGTTGCTATAATCAAGGATGCTTTCAGCACATTATTAAATGATACAGGAAGTATTAAAAGAAGATGGAAAGAATATACTGAGTCGCTGTATCAAAAGGAATTGGCAGACAAAGAATTTCATGAAATAACATATGAACAAAAGCTTATGGTGATGAAAGAAGAAGTTCAAGCTGCTTTGAAGGATATAGCAAAAAATAAGGCCCCAGGAATAGATGGTATACCAATTGACATATTTCAGCTAACAGATGCTGCCCTGGATGTGCTCACCAAGTCGTGCCAAGAAATCTGGAGAACAACCACTTGGCTAACTGACTGGAAGAGATCTATATTTGTTTCCATTCCAAAGAAGGGTGGCCCAACAAAGTGTGGGAACTACAGAACAATATCATTGATTTCACATGCAAGCAAGATTCTACTGAAGATTATTCAAAAACAACTGGAACAGCCCACCAGCAGAGAACGGCCAGAAGTCCAGGTTGGGTTTAGAAGGGGTCGTGGTACTAGAGATATTGTAGCTGATATTAGATGTGTCTTAGCTGAAAACAGGGAATACCAGAAGAATGTCTATCTGTGTTTCATTGATTATGCAAAGGCATTTGACCGTGTGGATCATAACAAACTGTGGCTGACTCTAAGAAGAATGGGAATCCCGGAATACTTGATCATGCTAATGAGAAACCTATAACCTATACTTGGACCAAGAGGCAGTCATCAGAACAGAGCAAGGAAACACTGCGTGGTTGAAAATTGGGAAAGGTGTGTGCCAGGGATGTGTCCTGTCTCCATACCTTTTCAACCTGTATGCAGAACAGATTATCTGAGAGGCTGGGCTCAATGAGGAGAAGTGTGGGGTCAGGATGGTGGAAGATCTATCAACAATCTGTGTTATGCAGATGACACAACCCTGCTTGCTGAAACTGAGGAGGACCTGAAATGCTTGCTGCAGAGGTTCAAGGACTGCAGCCTTCAATATGGACTGAGGCTCAATGTCAAGAAGAAAAAGATTCTCACCACTGGACCAACTGGCAGCATCAGGATGGATGGTGAAGAAATTGAGATTGTTAACAACTTTAGTCAGCTTGGCTCCACGGTCAACACCCTTGACACCAGTAGCCAGGAAATAAAAAAAAGTATTACAATGGGAAAGTCTGCTGTTAGGGACCTCTCCAGGGTACTGAAAAGCAATGATGTCTCTCTGGAGACTAAGGTGCATCTGATACAGGCCATGGTCTTCGCAATCACTTGTTATGCATCAGAGAGTTGGGCAATGACTAGGAAGAATAGAAGGAGAATTAATGCCTTTGAGATGTGGTGCTGGAGAAGAGTATTGAGGGTACCATGGACTGCCAAGAAAACAAACAGATTCAACCTGGAGAGGGCTAAACCAGGCTGCTCCTTAGAGGCAAGGATTCTGGGGCTTTGTCTGACATACTTTGGACATGTTGTAAGGAAGGACAGGTCCTTGGAGGGACATCATGCTTGGGCGGGTGGAGGGACAGCGCAGGAGGGGAAGACCCTCAATGAGGTGGCTTGATTAAGTTACTGGGGTAATTGGGATGGGTGTGCCAGAGGCAGTGTGATCGGCACAGGACAGAGCAGAGTTTAGGGCTGTTGTACATAGGGTCACTATGAGTCGCAAGTGACTCGACGGCACATAACACCAACAACAAGCTTTTCAAAGTTTAAGTCATTTGGAGGGGGAGTGGTTTCCATTTCAGTTTACCATAATCTTTCTTATTGTCATGAAGTGACTATATTTTGTATTTATATTATCTTTCAAAACTCTGACTTTGTAATTCTTTTTTTAATATTACTCTGATTTATTTACAACATTTGAATAAATGCTTTTTAACAAAAGATCCTTCTGACTTTGTAATTCTTAAACTAGATGGCTTCTAGGTTGAGCTAGGAACTGAAATCAGCTATGACCTTCCATACTTTGATAACCTCTATTTTAAAAGATTCTGGAAATGAAGACTCAGGATACATAGCGGCTTAATCAACAGCTAATTTATAACAAAGCTGAGCATGAACCTGGGTCTTCAGACTTCTAAATCAAGACTCCTTTTAAAGTCACATCTTGGGGCCAGCAATAAGGAAGAAAATTCTAAGTAGACGAATATCTACTTGAATTCCACTCCAGAGTAAGTCTCTACTAAACAGTACTCTAAACACAGCAATTAAGGAAAGAAACAAACAAAGAAAGTTGCCACTTCATACAACACACTATCATATGTTAGAAACAAACTCAACTAGCAAAGTATTAAAGTTTTATGACGGAGAGATACTGAAATCTTAGTAACTAAACTTATAGAGGCTGTTAGAGACAAGTTCACTCAGGTCAACTTTTATACAGGGTTTCTGAATCTTTTTCTATAAGAAGGCATCAGGAGGAAAAAAGTAAGTAAAAAATGTGCAATGTATTTCCTAGCCTCATAATTTTGATATATTATAGGAATCTTAATATTTATTGATTGACTAGTCAACAAATATTTTTCAGCATCTATTATGAGCCTAGGACTATTCTTGACACTTGATGTTAGGATATAAAATAGCTTTTAAATCTCTATGTCCTTGGAGTTTATAATCTGGTGAAGGAGACATACTAATCTAAACTCACAAGTGAGTTAGGCGACCTGTTTGCTACCTACTATGTTGCTGTTGTTGTTGTTCGGTGTTGTAGCAGTGATTTCAACTCACAGTAACTCTCTATGTATTGCAGAATGAAATACTTCTGGGTCCTATACTATCCCTACAACCACTGCTACGCTTGAGCCCACTGTATCATTACTGAGGGTCATGGTCTTTTTTTTTTTTCATTGACCTTCTACTTTTCAAAGTGTAATGTGGTCTACTAGGAGGTGATAAGCCTCTAACTGGAAAAAAGTTGTTGCCGTTAGATATTGTTGAGTCAAGTATGACTCATAGCGACCCAATGAACAGCCAACCTGAACCTTGCCCTAGCCTGTAGCATTCTTATGATCTCTGATACACTAGAACCCATTGCTGAAGTCACTGTGTCAATCCATCTTGTCGAGGGTCTTCCTCTCCTTTACTTATCCCCCATCTTTCCAAGCATCGTGTCCCTTTCCAAGGAATAGCCTTGCCTAGCTACATGTCCAAAGTATGAAAGATGAAACTTCACCATTCTTCCTTCCAAGGAGCACTCCTGTGGCAATTTTCCTAAGACCTATGGCTAAGTTAGAAATAGGTGACTCAAAACCCCATCCGAGGAAAGAGTACAGCCAAAACCAGTGTGTACAATCTATAGATTGGTAGAAATTTCTGATTTCCCTAAAAAAAAAAAAAGGATTAATAATTAAATGCACCTCTCAGGATGCTGTAAGAAATGAATGGAATATGACTATAAAGTGCTTGGTTGGCATATTGCCTGGGACGCTTGTCCAAAGCTTATTATGTGCCAATGTGCTCTATGAGCTAAGGACATGGACACTTTCTTCCTGTCTGGGGTTCTACTTGTTAGGGTGAGCAGGGGACACACTGAAGAACAGAGAGAGATTGCCCACAGTCAAAGGTCCTGATGTGGAAGGGTGAAATCAAACTCCACCATTTTTTGTAATTATTATTATTAATATTTTAATGAAAGTTTATAGAGAACTTGGGATTTCCATTCATTCATTGTTGCACTGCATTGTTCCATTCATTCATTTTCCTCTCTGCACTCCCTGTTTTATCATCCACTACTCTTACCAACAATCCACTAATGCATTCTGTGCCTCAGTTTCCCCATATGTAAAACAGTAAGAATAACAATGCACCTCCACAGTGCGGTTGTAAGTTTTAAATGGAATCATGTACATGAAAAGTTTAGCATATGTCCATTAATGAGTGTTGGTGTCTCATTAATATATTTTTATGGTCTCATCCATACTTTGGTGGTCTAGTGGCAAGAAACCGCAATACAATCCCAAAGGCATGTGGTTCGAGGCCACCAGCTGCCCCGCGGGAGAAGGATGGGCAATCACCTCCCCTGTGATTAACTGCCTCTGGAAACCCACCAGAGGGTCAGCGATGGGCCAGTTCTGACTCTGTGGTACACAAACAAGAACTGATTACATTTAGGAGCTCTGGTGGCTGAGTGAGTAAGGAGTTGTGCTGCCAACAGCAGGTGATTTGAATTCACCAGCTGCTCTTCAGGGGAAAAAAAAATAGGCAATCTGCACCCATTCAATTCACAGCTCCTAAACACCCTTTGGAGGGTCAGCTGAGTCAGTTCCGGTTTGATGACACATAACAATAGGCCATACATACTTGCAAAAGAGGAGTTCAGAGGGCCCCCAGGCTCCTAGTCCACTGGGAACTAGACTGAGTAGAATGGGATGGTCTCAGTGCTGGCAACAAAGTAGTGTTAAAACACCTGTCAGATCAAGCTTATCTTCTGCTCATGGAGTCATCTCAGGGAGTAGAAAAGCTAAAGTCCTCCTGAGCGTGTGGAGGGACTGCGGGAGTGGAGAGCAGACTGCCGTCACTCCCCTCCTTCATTCTGTCCAGTCCTAGCACGCTCTGGTCCCGGGGCGGGGCTTTGGCACTTGGTGTTCTCTCCACAAGACCACTCTTTCACTTCGTCTAAAGCCTTTGCTTGAAATATCAGATTAGTGCCAAGGCTTGTCTCTGACTGTCATATTTAAAATAGAAATACCTCCCGCATCCGTTTTTCTATTTTTTTCTCTCTAATGGTAATCACCATCTGACATATTCTTATTTTTATTTTTAATCTACCTCCCACTTTAGCTAGGGAGTTTTGTGGCCTAGTTTGCAGGGAGTTGCACTACTAACCCAAGGTACAGACTTTTCTCGTGGCTCTAATCCACCAGCAGCTCCTCAGGAGAAAGACAGGCAGTCTCTTCCCATGTGACTTACATCCTCTGAAACCCAGCGGAAGTTTAGCCATGAGTTGGTTCTTACTCCATAGCAATGAGCTCAAGTTTCTGCTTTATAATGAAAGCTTTATTGTGAAGTCTCAGATGTCAGAATAGTGCTTGACCCATGTTAGATAGTCATGAAATCATATGCTTTTATTACTCATTAAATATTTGTTGAGTGAATACACAAATAAACTCTGAACATGTCATCATTTAATCTATCAGGGGTCTTCACAAGTAACCTGGTTGTCTCCCTGTGTCCTTGGGGCTGCAAAATTTTTAGTTGTCTCGGGGAAAAGAAACCCAACTTGAACAAAGGAACCCAAACATTTGAGTTCTACCCAGAGCTTTACCTCTGTGTGATTTCTCACTTTGAGCTTCAGTTCATTTAATGATAAAATGGACTCATAGTCAGGTTCTTTAAGTTGTCCTAACACGTGTGAGAATGGAAAAGCTTGTGGGGAAGTTGAGTGGGTGGAACCCCAAGTCTCCTGGCCCTCATTTGAAATAGAATCAGCTGTTCTTCTTTCATCAACTTTATGGAGGATTTCATGGGGGGGGGGAATTGTGACTAATCATTTTAAAAAGAGCATTCTTTTAAAATTTATGATTCAGCAACTTCACTCCTAGGTATGAAATAAAACAAAATTGAAACACATATTTAAGCACATTCCTATAAAATACAAACACTGTTCACAATAACCAAAAGGCAGAACACTTCAAGGGTCTGTCAACACACAAATGGATACAATAGAATATTATTCAGATACAAAAGGAATGAAGTGCTGATAATATGTCAAAATGTGAATGAACCTACAAAACACCATGCACAAATGATCACATATTGTATGATTCCATTTGTATGAAATGCCCCGACTGGGGGATGTTGGCTAAGAAGAAAGAGAATAAGTACAGGAGTTCCCTTCAGGATGGAAGATTTCTAGAAATCATTTGGAAATAAGCAGAAGTGTCGGTGACATAGCATTGCAAAGATATGAAATTCCACCGAATCCTTCACTATTAAATGATTAATTTTATGTGAAATGAATTTTGCACATACATATCTGGAAGCAGTGAGGCTGGATGTTACTTCAGGCCCTTTCCTGTACAAGAATTCCAAGGTATCCATAGTGGTTTTGAACAGAAAGCCCTTTTCCCTTTTAAAAGGCAGAGTCTCCAGAGGCTGGCAGGGCCTCTTGTGGCGAGGGTCAGACAAGGGGCATGCACACACCTGGGACATGTGGACCACCTCGAACCAGCGCAGGATTCCTGGCAGCTTGTAAGCAGTCACGAAGGAGGTCCTCTCGATCCACATTGACTGTGCCGCAGGGCGAGATGGAAAGAACAGAAAAGCCACAGACATATTCATGAAATGTCGTCAGACAGGCTTGACTGAAGGCCCACTATCCTGTAATTTCCTAGCCCCTCAGAATCTGCAAAAATACTTGGAGACCAAGAAACAGTCCATCACACTACACTTACACAGTCTTCTCCCACCTGAATTTAAGTAAACTTAGGACAATGAGGCCTTAACCTGGATGCATGAACAGTCTGAATGTCTTAGACAATATTGACTGCCACCATTTGCATTTTTTTGAGACAGAGCTCCACAGGGTTCATTAGGCTCTGAGGGCAGCGATCTCAAAATGTTAAGAATAAAGCCGAACACTTAAATGTGCCACCAGGACTCTGTACGCATCTCTAATAATAGCCACTTGACATCTTGAAGGGAAAAGGCTCATAATGACACAGAAAGCCCATCAGGTAATGCCGGGGATGGAGCCACTGCCCCAGTGGTTGCCAGGCTTCACTCTCTGTAGCCCTGGATTAAGTTGCTCTCCTTCAGAGGCTGGAAGGTGGGTGGAGGGTGGTTTTGTTGGTGAAGGCAGCGGGGCGGGGGTGCAGGGCGGGTGATGATGATGGAGACTGCTCAATGGCGGGGGTTAGATACTCACAGCAAATTCATTCTCAGGGTCGACGGTTCCCCTGCGCACAGGCCGGGAGTAGTGGAACTTTTGCACATGGTTGGATTTGTAAAAACTGAAAGACAGGAAGAGGAGGCTCCTGCATCTGACACCAGTCTGCATTTTGAGCTCCATAAAACTGATCCTTGAAGCAGGTATTTCCTTGGGAAAGTTATCTGGAAGGTAAACTTACCTTACCTATGTCCTCACAAGATCTAGTATCTATTTGTTGCTGTTATTGTTGAGTACTGTCAAGTCAACTCTGGCTTATAGTGACTCTATGAACAAGCCTATGTCTCTGGTTGGATTTGGCTCTCTCCTGTGATCCTGTGCCATCCTCACACTCTATCTTGCTCAAGCCCCTTGCTGCAGACACTGTGTCATTAATCTTACTGAGGGTCTTCACTCTTTCACAGACCACTTACATTTCCCAGCACGATGTCTTTTTCTAAAGACTAGCCTCTCCTGACAACCTATCCAGAGTATGTGAGATGATATTTCATCCCACTTGCCTTCAAGGAGCATTCCTTTGGGTGCCCAGGAAACTGGAATTCTAACACTGATACACTTAGAGCTGCCGGGGGCACCATTCCTATGTCTTAGTGCAGGAATCATCACAGTACACTTAAGGTGTCTCATGTCTGGAGAGAATTTCATTAAGGTTTCCAGCCGCCCCTGACATCCATCCCCCAGGCTGGATCTGCACTGAGGTTCCCCCAGCAGGTAAGCAGGGCACTGTGTATAGCTTGCAGCTGTCTGGTGGAGTGTGAAGGGCTGAGATCCAGTTGCTCACCCTGGGCACTGGTGTGACACTTCAGGGAGGGGTAACCCCTGGAGGAAAGGGCCTCGTTCTCATGCAGGAGCACCAGTTTCTCCCTGGTCCACTCTGGAGCTTTTTCTTAAGACACTCAGGTTGCAATTTTCATGCTTAGTCTGCTGCTTGGAGGGTTGCTGTCTGGTTAAAGAGCCCCAGTCCCTGGGCCTCACCTTTGACACTGTAATTTGGTATTGAATAGACTGACACCTGTCTTCACATTGCTTCCTCTAATGTCTTAGATCACAGTTGGAAGGCATCCACTGTCAGTGTAGGACCTTGACAAGATGTCCCTTTAGGAAAACGTGCTCAGCATGAGCCATGATCTTAATATTCTCTCTCACCCGTGCTTCATTGTTACCTGCCCTGCACTACTACTACCTTCCCTCCCCCATCTCCTGCAGATTCCTAGGATCTATTCCAGGATCAATGCATACAATGGGCTCTCCACACCCAATGCAGTAATTCTAATCAGTGCTGCCAGAGGCATCCCTGTGTAGCTAAGCAGTTGCCCTGGCCTTGGGTTTCAGTCCTTTACAGAGTAGAACCCCACTAGCTAATTGGGATAATTTCTTTCCTAGAGAAAAAGTTGGAACAGAAAGGCTAATATAGAGAAGGAGTTAACTGAACTCTGGTTCTCATCTTGCTATCAGGTAAACTAGGCTACGCCATGAGATTTTTCTTCTCCAACCCTCTGCACAGACAGCTGCAAGCCTTACTTTATAATCTGGTCAGGTACTGGCTTGTTCTTGAACCTGGGATGTTCATCCAAGACAGGCTGGGCGGTGAAACACTGGATGTCTGAAATTCTTTTGGTTAAGGGCTCATAGTATGAGGTTAAGGGCAGCCACAATGGTCCTAAGCTTCGCAGTTCCCTGCTGAGGACGTCTAGGCCAGCCCTCCGTGGGCCACGTTTTCACTCCATGACCAGTCTTAAGTTGCTGCCTGTTAATGAGGTCTGAACAACTAGTTCATAGTCACTGCTGCTCTTCACAGAGCTGCCCACCACCATGCAAAAAGCTCAGCCCCTGCTAACAGTTAGTTAGTGGCACTTAGCCATTACTATCATCGCTATAGTATTATTGCCAATGAAGCCATCTACTGGATTTATAGCATGCCATCGATTGCAGAACATCTCTACCCATGCTCTCATTTCATCTTTCCAATTCTGCTGAATAAATTGCCCCCACTTTATAAATGAGGACATCTAGCCAGGAAGCTTGCTCAAGGTCACACGGCTTATTAGAACAGGGAGCTGTACTTAAGTCTTTGTATCCTCTGCATATATTAATGTGATTGTAGAATGTATTTAGGTCTTTGGTCTTTAAACCTAGTGTTCTTACAATACCATGTGTGCTCCTGTGACCATCAGCACCAGCAAGATCTAAATGCCTGTTATAAATGGAGCATCTCAAGTTGCATTTCAGACCTACTGAATGAGAATCTGTCATTTTTCAAGATCCTTTACATGCAAACATTTAAGAAGCAACTTTGAAAGCTTAAAGAAACCTCATGATAGTTGTAAGGCTGTCTCCAGGATCGTAGGGAAAGAGTTCCTACACGGATTAGTAATGCCTGCCATGGGCGCTCTGGGGGCCTACTCTGTAGGGAGTTGCACTCCTAGTCCCAAAGTGGTGCCTCTGGCAGTTTGAATCTGCCAGCCAATCTGCAGAAGAAAGATGGGTAGTCTTTTCCAGTCTTACACAGCTTCTGCAAACCCACTAGAGGGTCAGCCATAAATTTATCTGACTTGATAACAATGAATTTAAGAGCATAGGATGGTGGCTAAGTGTACATAGACTAGATTTTTGCCAGCTCTCTTCTAGACCAGAGCCACCTTATTAATCTTAAGCCAATAATATGGCAAACCAGGTGGACAAAGGTAATTATCACTAGTCTTAGCTGTAGCTTCTGCTTCCACTTCCCTACCTTTCATGCCTTTTTTTACTTATCTCTCCGCGTTCACTATCCATGGTCTCACATTCCTCCTTTCTAAGGACCGCAACTCCAAAAGCTCATCTCTGAGGTCTGACAGTTCTCCCCGCTAAGGAATCACAAATGCCTCTTGCTGAGTTTCAAAGTTATCCCGTTTTCCACTATTCTCACTAGTTACCCCACAAATTCTCCTACTCTATCAGATTGGAACATATTCCCTCATTAACCACGTATTCTCTGTGACACTTTCTGGTAAATACTAACACTTCTATGACAATTAGATGCATCCTGAGTAGATAATGCTTGATAGTCTACAGCATTTTGTCGGCATCTCTCTTAGGACTCTTCTCCCTGCAGATACCTGTCTCATCCCTCTCTGTCCTCTGTCCTCACCACAGTGTGATAGCAGAGGCTATGAGTCACACAGTAAAAAATAGCCAACTCATAAACCTCCGGATGATATTCCATTGCTCACTTTGAATATACTCATTCCATACTAATGGGCTCGGGACTGAACAGTCTCCTTCCTCCTCCCCAAGAGTATTTCCTGTTTACAAAGGGTCACTCGGGGAGTGGGACATGACTAAACAGTACTTATATTAAACTAAAAACTCAAACCTACTGCTGCTGAGTAGAACCAGACTCATACTGACTTTATAGGACCAAGCAGAACTGCTCAATAGGGTTTCCAAGATAAACCTATTTAAACTGCCGTGGAAGCAGACTCCCACCTGTCTTTCTTGCAGAACATTTTTTTTTTAACAGCCAACCTTTTGATGAGCAGACTAGGTACTGAACCATTGTACCAAGGCTCCTCAAATCAGGATACAAAACTAAACAAAACCCCCTACTGCCACTACATTAGTTCTGACTCGGGGCAGCCATCCCGTCAGTTTTCTGTGGCAGCAAATATCAACAGAAATGGATACTTCCTCTTTCTCTGATAGAACAGTGATTGGATTTGAACTGCCAAGTTTTCAGTTCGCTTCTCAACACCAATCTGCTACATCATCAGGGCTCCTTTGAATCAGGCCTTGTTGTTATTGTCATTGTTAGTTGAATCAGGCGTAAAAGCCATAAATGTGATCATTAGCCTATGATTAAAAACTATGATCTCTATTTCCGTTTGAAAGACCCCAGAGATTTTCAACACCAGGACCTCCACCGAGAAGAGCTTTATTTCTAATCATGCTTCTCACCTGTAGCCAAACTTGCATTTGTAACAAGCCACCCCTATCTACCAGTTGCATTTCCAACTGTAAATAACCATGGCAGAGCAGGCATGAAGGGCAGACAAGTATGCTGAAAGGTTACAGAGGAATATGCACCACCCAGGGGAGAAATACTTGTATTAAGTTTAGGCAGACTTAGCAGACCAGCAATGCAACCTGTCAACCCCATTTTACAAGGCGTAACTTAATTTGTGCTAAAGGATGTGATGCAGGGAGCCAGGCTGGGCTCCTGCATTCCTGAGCACACCTGACTGCCTTAGCCTTGGGTTTATATGCTTCCTGCCTCTCCAAGCTCTGCCTCACACCCAGTGTGTGCTCCTGGCCCCAGGGCCCCAAGGCCCAGCTAAAGGATGCACAGTGACACTACCAGCATCTCCAGTCAGCGCTGCCTCACTTTGCATGTCTCAAGGGAGAATGCTCACTCATTCTCTTTCCTTCTTTTTTCCACTTTTATTAATCTCATTTTTTTCTTGTTTCCTTTTCTTTTTCATCCTATTTATCAATAAACATTTGAAAGTTTGCTTTCTGCCAGCCACTGTGGATGAGAAGAGGGTTATTGCAATAAACAAGGTAAAGCAAGTGTCTTTCCCCAAAGACCTTGCATTTTCTCTTGCCTTTCCATAGCTTTCAAAAGCCCTAATGGTGAGGAAAGATGCTAAATTCTCCAAAGGGGGTTTGGGATACTGGAGACACATGGCATCCAGGAAAGGCCGTTGTAGTGAAGGTATTGGGGAGGCCTCCTCCAAGAGATGCTACTCTAGTTAGGGTCCAGTGGGTGAGAAAGAGTGAGGCACAGAAAGCTTTGAGAAAGAACACTCCAAGCATGTAAAAAGAAAAATGCAAAGAAATGGAAACAAATTGGGCATATTTAAGGAACAGGAACAATACCAGAATGGTCAGAGGGAGAACTAGGGAATGAAGAGTTAGAGAAGCAGATACAATTTAGACTTTGGATAGCTTCTTGGACAAACCTTACTTGAGAGATTTTAATTCTATTAGAAGAACATAGAAGAACAATATGGAGCTATCCTAGCTTTGACTGAAGGCTTTTACATGTGGTGGCTCTTTCCTCTGTCTGGGACACTGTGCTCCCCTCCTCCTAACCTTCACTGGCTACTCATTTTATGTATTATTTTCCTCAAAGAAAAGAAAATTTTCTCAAGGAAATTAAATTTTATTTACCCCCAAAAATAAAATTTCCTCAAGGCTTTCCCTACCATTCCAATAACAACACTATGGCTTCTTTTCTGTGTTTATCACCTGTTTATAAATAAATATTAAATGGTGCAACTAATTGTTTAATGCTTGTTTTGCTTGCTAGAATATAAGTTCCATGAAAGCAGGATTACTTTGTAAATGGAATCCCTAGTATCTTTTATCACACTTGATCCAACACCAAGATTCATAGTATTGATTGCAAGTATGAAGGAATGAGTGAATGCCACATTTAGAATATGGGGAGATGGGTTTTTAAGACGGTTTAGTTGTAAAAAGCTGTGTTACTGTCACAAGGCACATGGCTCAAATCCATCATCTGCTCCAAGGGCAAAAGATAGGCAATCTCCCCTGTGATTTACTGTCTCTGTACAGGAGAGTCATCTATGGGTCAGTTCCAATTTGATGATACTCAACACCGCCTCTGTACATCTATAATGGACACCAAAGCAATGCTTCTGGAAGCAGTTGTGAGTTGTAAGAAGGGACTCTGTGGTATAAATTCCAGCCAGGAATCTTGGTGCTCAGCCCTTGGTTGTGACTCTGTGTAAGGATACACTGGCCTGGGGCATTCTTCACATCATCCCCAGGGGCAGAGGTTGTGTTCATTTTCTCTGCGTTGGGGAATTGGCTCATCAGCTGCATCTGGAAATCTTCTCTTCGCTCGTACTCCTTCCCCCGGTAGATGAATACTTTATTCTGTAGAGAAAGGACACTCATCAGAGATCTGGGCTGGAAGAAAGCAGCCTGAGTAAACCTGGGGAGGGAAGCGAGGTGTGTGTGGAATAATCATAGGGACTGTGGCGGCCTCCAGCAAGTCCTTCTCCTCTAGTCTCCTTACCACTGAGAGCTGGAGCTTGACTCATTGATCCTCTTGCTGAGGCATGCCACATCTTTAAACATCTGAAGGGTAAGGAAATCATGCAGGCTGAGAATATCCTTCTCCAAATCTCCCTCTATAGCTTCCAGCTTCATTTCACTAGGTCAGACCTACTTCCCTATTCGCACACCTCTAAAGGTTCACAGCTGCATGTAATGGACTGTTTTGAGGTCTGCAGCCTGAGAAATAAGAAGTTAGAGGGATCAGCATTCACGCCTGACAGTACCTATTTCCAAGTCAAGCTCCAGGCCCACACACTCTTTACTTTTACTCAACCTTAGCTTCCTGTAGAGCCAAAGTTCTCCACAGAGGTAATTTTGTCTCCCGAGAGTGTTGGTTTGGATATATCTTTGGTTGTCACAACTTAAGAGGAAGGTGCACTTGGCATTTAATGAGCAGAGACTAGAGTTGCTACCCAACATTTTATAATGCACAGCATAGCTCCCCCCAAAAAGGAATTATCCATCTTGGTATGTCAATATTATGGAGACTGAGAAACTTAATTCTAAACCTCTACTCTGGTTTCCATAAGGGTTAGAAATTGTGAGTGATTCATCTCCTTAACTGGATTTCAATCACATGAAGTCTGGGGTCAGGTTTAACTGTTTCTATTATATCACCCTGCCTCATAATTAAGCCACAGACTCACAGATGTGAAAAACACTCAAGGCTGCTCTAATTCAACTCTCCATATGAGGGATGAATAATCCACTATCGTCCTCAACCCTGACTCCGCAATGGAATCATAGACTGGGAAGGATGCCTGTAGCTGACCCAACCTAGCTCTGTATAAGGGATAAATAATCTATCACAGTAGTGGTTCAAAAGTATAATTCAGAGATCTCTGAAGGAGCCCCAAGACCATTTCAAGGACCCACACTGTCAAATCTCTTTTCATAATAATGCAGAAGTGTCATTTTCCATTTCCACACTCCTGTTTCTCCAGTTTTCAGGGGAGTTTCCAGAGGATCCACCACATGTGATATAACAGATTAGGTACAAAAGCTGATGTGAGAATCCAGCTGTCTTCTATCAGATCAGACATCATAAAGCATTCCTTTCACTAAATTTTTATTGACCTGTGTAAAGTGACTAGTGACCAATGAAGGGAGTTTTTCCCGAAAGTTTTATCTGTTACAACATGTAATACATTTATAATTGTTATTTTAAAATAAATTCATAAATATCTTTAAACTTTGTTCCCCATTTTAATTTTTAATATTGAAGTGTCTCTAGATATAATTTTTAAGCACAAATGATTTTTGAAGTCATCAATAATTCACAAGAGAATGAAAAATTCTTGAGACCAAAAAACTTGAAAACCACTATGTGCTGGGTTGCAGAAGCTGGATGCCTCTCTGAATGTATATCCAGAGTATGAGGAGCTCATCACCTTAATTGGCAAGGAGCTGATGCTGCTGGTGAGGATAAAGACTGTGGTTACAGGGTGGATATGGCTCAGACAGGGGAGACCACCACTTCTGGTGTCTTCACAAGCAAATCTACGAACCATGAGGGATAGCAAGAACCTCTGCCCCTCACAGTGACCTCATGAGTGACTGTTTCACCCATAAACTCACCCGCAAAAATGAGGGAAATCCCTGACCATAGTATCCAACAGCAAAGTAGTCTGGTTTGGGCCTCAGGATTTTCATGATGTTCTCATAGAACTTTGCCTGCTGGATCTGAAAGAAGAAACTCATAGCAAGTAATGATACAGATAGGTATCAAAGGTGCATTCATCCACAAAAGGCCACAGCTCAGTCAGTCTCACAAGAGGTCAACAAAACCAGTACTTAAGTAGGACCTGTGGGTGTGTCTGTAATCCTAACAATAATTGCTATCCTTGTCAAGTAAGTGATCAGGCATTGACTTGGCTGAGCGATCTCTTCACATTTGCTTGTTCACCTGACCATCCACATGTCAATCCCCCTTGTATCTCTACTTTGCAGATGATGAAATGATATCACACAGCGCAGCTGAAAAATCATGGACCTGGCGCCAGGCAGACTTCCTCTAGAGCCTTCATCGTTCTTACTCTGTCCCCTCAAGCACATATGGGCATGCATTGGTGAGGACATATGGTTGGTTAAAAGCTTCCTGACACAGGTGTCTTCCTGTAACCTTTTGGATTTAATCAATTCTAAGAGGTACATATACTCATATTTTAACATGTCTGAAAAGAGTTTGCATCTTACTCTATGCCTACTAGTATCTTACAGTGCTATTGCTGAGACAGAAATCATCAAAAGAGCAGCACAGCTCAGACTTGATGACATCCTAAGGTGTGACACAATACATAAAATCAATGTGCAGGTATATAGATATGTGTCTGTGTGTGCAGGACTTGTGCAGAGATTGTGCTGATGAGTCAGTGTAGACTTGGGTAGGTTCTGGGGTGTAAGGGTGTGTGTGCACATGTGGACACCCATGCCCGTGAACGTTTATGTTTAGAAAGATGACAGCTAGATAGCTAGATAGAATATATAGATGTATATGTTGTTGTTTTTGTTATGTGCTGTCGAGTCGCCTGCGACTCATAGTGACTCTATGTACAACAGCCCTCAACCCTGCTCTATCCCTATCCAATCTCATTGTCTCGGACACACCCATCCTTATTAACCCAGTGACAGAATCAATCTATCTCATTGAGAGTCTTCCTCTCCTGTGCTGTAGCTCCACCCCCCCCAAGTATGATGTCCCTCTCCAAAGACTTGTCCCTTCTTGCAACATGCCCAAAGTATGTCAGAAGGAGCTTCAGAATCTTTGTCTCCAAGGAGCAGCCTCGCTTCACCCTCTACAGGGTGAACTTGTTTGTTCTCCTAGCAGTCCATGGTATATTCAATACTCTCATAGATATACATATATAATCATGTAGATATACATTAGACATAAGTGTATATTGCTGCAAAGATGTGCATGTAAGTATGTTCATATCATTTATCATACACAGAGCTTACTTGATTTTGACTATAACACCCTGCTTACTCTCTGGCCCCTAATAGCTATCATTCCTCTCCTAGTCTTGTTATTGTCATTTGATGTTATTGTTAGGTGACATTGTTCGTAGTGACCTTATGAACAACAGATCTGAACCCTGCCCTATGCTGTGCCATCTCATTCTCTCTAATATACTGTGTCCATTGTTATAGTCACCGTGCCAATGCATCTTGTCGATAGTCTTCCCTTCTTTCTTTTTTCACCTCTACCTTTGCAAATATGACATTCTCCTCCAAGGACCAGTCTCTCCTAACAACATCACAAACTGTGTGAGGCAAAGCTTCACCATCCTTGCCTCGAAGCAGACCCTGGCTGCACTTCCTCCAGCACAGATTGTTTAGTTCCCTGAAAATAGCCCGACTGGTCTCTCTAAACATGCTCAGATTGGACTCGGGGGTCTGACTCTCAGGGTGAGTGTGTGTGTCTGTATGCCTTTCTGTGTGTGTGTGTTGGCATGAGGAGTCCTGTATTTTCCCTGCAGAAGCTGACTCCCCACCAAGTTCCAGCCTCCGCAGCATAAGCAGGATAGACTGGCTTCCCTCATCCCCACTTTCTAGTCCCCACAAAATCACGAGCACCAAAGAGCTAATGGAGAATGGCCAGATGGGGAGCATTTTAAAGTGATTAATCTGTTAATCAGAGGCACAAATTTGCGTTTTTATTTAATTGGTTTAGTGATTTGTGGAGATTTTACTGCAGACGTAGCAGGGTGTTTACGGGGTGCTGGAGCAACAGCAGACACCCCAGTGCCACACAGGTACTTAACGCTCCGCCATGGGAACTGGTGCTGATAAATTTTCCCTGCAAACCTCCCTTTGGAAATCTTCCCAAGGAGTGTGGAGGTGCTCAGCACAGCCTCACTGAGACCCTGATTTTCATTTTCTTCCTGCATCACCCCTTTCCCAGACTCCCCGACGAGCTGAACCTCCACACAGAGACCCCTGCCAGGACCACCCGTCCCCTCACCCAATTCTGGCTTACCAGGTTCTGGCTGAGCAGCTCATAGTCAAAGGTTTCCATCTCATACTGCTCCGCCAGCTCCTTGCACAGACTGATGGCCTCTTCCCACATCTACGACAAGAGCATGAAGACAGAGGTTAGGAGGGCCTGGAGGCATGCAGAGTCCTGGATGTGCCTCTTGGGACCAAGGTCCACACTTCTTCTAACTCAGATCTGTCCTCAACTCAGGGAGAGCTGGGAACTTTGTGGAAAAGTGACTTCTTTGGTTTCTTGGTAAATAATGGAACAGCCACAAAGCGAAAGAAATCAAAACAGAACAGGTGCTGTGGAGCTGACTCCAACTCGCAGTGACCACGTGGGACCCAGAAAGTAGAACTGGGTTCCACAGGATTTTCTACAGCGAATTTTTCAGAAGTGGATTGTCAGACCTTTCTCCTAGCTCAACCTCCCTATCTTTCTGTTAGGCTTGGGTGTATTAAATGCTCTTGCATCCCCCAGGGACTCTGGATTAGTCATAAGCAAAACCAAATAGGACCCACTGCTTTCAAGTAGACTGTAGCTCACAGCTAGCTACTCTGTAGGGCAGTCTCGAAATTCCCCATAGGTTTTCGAAGTTGCGATCTCCATGGAAGCAAACGGCATCATCCTTTTTTCATGGAATAATTGGTGGACTCATAATCACCTGCCTTCCAGTTCTGTTTCTCTGAGTGGTAAACGCTCATAGACTAGCCTAAATACTTGTTCTCTAGATATTCACAACCACCCTAAGATGTAACTATTAGTATCTTTATTTATAGGTGAGAAACGGAGGCTTAGAGAGGCAAAGCTGCTGGCCTCAAGTCAACCCAGAGCCAGGATGTAACCAGAAAGTGACCAAGGGCCTCCTTACTAATTCCCACCCACCCTGCTTATCTCCACTTAATAAATGAAATCTTTGGCTTTCTGGGTTTCCCCCAGCATGGCAGATTGAGAAATGAAGTATTTATAATATGTACCAAAACAACAGGTTTCAGAGTCATGAATGGATTAACTCAAGGTCAGAGGATTGTCTAGGAGGCAACTTGCAACAGGACCTCAGTTCTGCTGATGTTCAAACTGTGGCTTCCAGAGTAGGTGAAGGGGAGCCCAGAGCAGAGTCAGAAGAGAGGTGGGGCGTCTTGGGTGATGTTGAGCTGCTACTGACTCAGTAGCGATCCCATGTGATAGAGCAGAATTGTCCTGAAGGGTTTCTTTGGCTATCAATTTGTGACTCTGTAACACGGTTTCCAAAGCACCAGCCTTTCAAATAGCAGTTGACCACTTAACCATTGCACTACCGGGATTCCTGGGGTGAGGTCAGAGCATTTTAAGAAGTGACTAAAACATGAAGTCTGTTTTCTCTGTGTTTTTTTTTTAAATTGTGCTGAAAAGTCAAAGCCAGGCACAGAGAATACTTTTCACTCTGCTGAGAAGTTAAATAGATCATCACACCACCTTGACCAAAGGGGATGAGGAAGCTCTGGAGAGGGGATGAGGAATGACTAGCGAGCTGGCATTCTTCAGAGACATTCATTCCATTTATCATTGGATGTAAATGGAGGTGTTCCGCAGAGGGGGCGGGAAGAGGAAGCCTGCCAAAATGCCGTGTGCTTTGTAGCAAGAGTGCTCTCTGCATCTAAGCACAAAAATAAATAAAACTCCAAGTTGAGTGGAGGAGCCATGGCTGTAAACCCACGGACAGCTTAGTGAGCAGCATAAAAATGCTTTATGTGCTGGGAGGAACCAAGTCAGCAGCCAGGCTGGGCCAGGGTTCTCCAGAGCCAGAGTAACAAGGTGGTGACAATGCCTTGGGGCTGGGCCAGGGGACTGATGGATGGAGGCGAAGTCTTTGCCAGCCCCCACCACCATATGTATCGGGAGAAAAAAAAATGTTCTCTCCCTGTTTTGGCAAACCACTAAGAAACCAGGAAGGGGAGAGAAACGAGATGAGCTACCTGGGATTTTCATCTTCCAGGTCTGTCTGTGCAGAGAAAGATGAGCCAGTTTGATTCCATAAAATTGCAGCCTGAGAAATCCTACAGAGCAGTTCTGCTCCATCCTACGGGAGTGCTGTGTGTTAGAGATTACTTGCGTAAACGAGGTCCTAGAACTGTGACAGTCACGGATCACTGAACTGCATGTATTTGTTACTGAACCCTAGTTGGGTTCTAGGTATGTTGTAGGAGGATGGAATAAATAAAAAGATGCAGAAGATAAAATGTCTGCCATCACAGGAAATCCGACACATAAGCAGATTAGCTGGTGGGTTTTGAAGGTTGAAGAGTAGTCCAGTAGGTGAGAACCTGGTAAGTTTATGTAGAAGAAAGCCATTGTGTATATTTAGAACAATGGAACTCCATGAGGGGAAGGATTCTGGGATACATTCATAGCAGTAGCTTGCCAGGTGAGCTATCCCTTCCCCTCTAATCTGCTTCCAAAGTATTTAAGTGGCACCCTGTGCCCTCACCTCTCCTCCTTAAAGATAATGTGTAAGAAGGACCATTTGCATGTCTATTTTTGCAAACAAGATGATAGGCTCCATAAGGTGTGAGACCATGCCTTTGTCATCCCCACCCAGTGCAGAACATTTTCAATGATAAATTGTGGATAAGGCTCAATGCCCAGAGTATAGATTGATTTAGTCAACAACAGAGTAAGCTCTAACTTGGTGCTGATGGGGCTGGAGGATCAAGGGACAGCAAAGTCTTCACCCTCAAGAGGCTTATAATTCTAAATTATAAAAGCAGTGTTCTCCAGCTGCTCAACCCTTGGGAATTTATAAGCCCTTCCCAGACATTACCTCACATTGTCTTTCCAGGGAAGGTGGGGAGATCAGACTAAGACAGATGCAGAGAACTGCGGTGACAAGACAGACGATAATTAAGTGTTAAATTATGCAATGATGGACTAAATGGTCTCACAATTCAGAGGAGAGGCAGGCTGTGACTGAAGCAGATGCCTCAAGAAAGAATTGAGAGAGGCAGTAGACTGTGAAGCGGGGCCTTGAACGTGAAGTAGGACAACAGTAACAACAACAGTTAAGATATTAAAGACGCTAGGGACTAGGTTCTATACCAGGTACTCTACATGCATTTAGCATTTATTTTCACACTAAAAGTAGGAAGTAATCTCACTGTTATGGATAAGGAAGAAGAATTTCTTATTAGCTCAAATACATTGTAAGTGGTATAGAGGAATAAGTCCGTCATCTGTCTGCCAATGTCATATTACTATAATAATTCCAGTAGCAATACCGCTGGTATTTCAAATACCAGAAAAGGTATCCATGATATATGGACTTCAGTAGAGCTTCCAGATTGAGAAATACCAGGAAACATGACCCAGAAATCACTTCTAAAATTTAGCCAATGGAAATTATGGAACACAATAGAATATTGTCCATTAAGAAGACTTTTCCCCCCTGTTGCATAAGGGGTCACTATGAGTCTGAATCAACTTGAGGGCAACTAAGAACAACAATAAGAGACACAAGACAAGGGTTGAAATTCAGGCTCTCAGACTCCAAAATCTGGGCATGTGACTACCTATAACATTCGAGGGTAAGATTAGGATTCATGCTTCCTGAAAGTCCACTGGAGGCTGGACAATAGCTAGTCTCATCCAATCTCCTGACTTAACCCAGTCTAGTACCTTTGTTGTTTGGAGAGTAGGTAACAAGGGCACAGCAATGTCATTCATATATCTAATTCACTTATCCAGAATCACACTCTGCTTTGGGCATTCAGCAGTGGCTGAGAGATATAGGCTCTGCTGTCATGGAACGGGGACTCTAAAATGAGGATCTAGACAACAGCAAGTAAAAATGCAATGAGTAAGTTGGTATGTGATCATAGCAGGTGCTGTGATGATATAATAGTGGTGATTCAGAACAGAAACTGTTCTGTTTGCCCAGGCGAATGGGGAGAGCTTCCTTGAGAAAGGATATCTGAAGGAAGCCCTGAGCAGTAGAACGAGTTAGGCCTGGGAAGCTATGAAAGAAGAATGTTCCAAGGTGGGGAAAACAAGTGCAAAGTCCCTGAGGTACAAAGAATTCGTCAGGGAGCATGTGAGTGAGAGGGAGCGTGGCAGAGGTGAAGTGAGAGGGGCAGTCAGGGACAACTTCGGTAGGACCTCATGGGTCATGAGAAGGATTGTAAAATGTATTTTAAGTGTACAGGAGGAGCCACTGAGTAATGGTAAGTGAGGAAATGACACAATCCAATACAGATTGTAAGATCACCCTATTTCTAGGTGGAAGATGCTCTGGTAGGGATAAGGACGTGGGCAGACATTGGGGGTACATTGCTGGCATCTTGGAGGAATGTGATAGGGATGGAGATGGAGAGAAGTGATTACATTTAGAACGTGTGTTGGAGAAAGCATTAACTAGACTTGCTGATGAATGTGGGGGAGAGTATGGGAGAAGACCCTCCTTCCCAGTGGTTCATGATCCCCAGCGAGGAGCAGTGGGGACTCGTTACCTTTCCTTTGTCAAAGTAGCCAATGATGGTCTCATACAGCGTCTCCTTCAGCTGCCGATGGGTCTGGGGGTGCTGCTGGCCTGTCTGCATGACCTGCGAGGTGCACTGCTCATCTGACCACTGAGGAGAGGGACAGGAGCATCACATGGGGCTGTCAGATTGTTGCAGGCAGGTGTCTTCCCCACCACCCTCCCCAGGCATTGTCCGTCCTTGTCTCCTCTTTCCTCAAACCCAGTTCATTTTTGAAAACTCAGAGTACCATTGTGGGGGGCAGCTCTAAGGAATACTCAGAGTTTTAGGAGGTTGTTGTAGTCACATAGCCACCATATGCAGAAAAGACGCATGGATGTGAGATATTGGAACCAGTTTGATTAGGAGCAAGATGAGGTTGTCAATGGTCAAGCAGAGAGAAGCACTCTGCTGGTCCCACATAGAAAAGACCTTCAGCTGAGGCATCTTGTTGGACTCCTGACTCACTGTTTATGTGTGGCATGTGGAGATTTTCTCCAAACCCCTACAAGCCATGATCCCCACTCTTCAAAATCTAAAGTAAAATCATTTTGTCTTTATCCCGCTATAATAAAGTTGTCACAAGAAAGAAAACAGCTCAGTGGGCATGTTAATGATTTGGAGCGGGCAACAGTTTGCATGTTACATAAAACTGTAAAACATATCTCAGGAGGTTTATCATGACTGCTCAATGTAAAGGTCACATGAAACCTTGTGGCCAGGCAGACCAGTGCTGAGATCTGATTTATCAGTCCAAGCACTGAAGGGCATAGAAACAAACACAATTTCTTTGACTTCTTTTTCCCCTTCTTTTCTGTTGTTTTGTTTGTTTGTTTTTGGGTTTTTTTTTATCATATAAGTTGTTCAACATTCTGTGAAGGCACTGGGAATGGTGGTGGCCAAGCATGAATTCCCTTCACCCCATAGGTCAGCACCTTGAGAAGCCAGGTGTGGAGAAGCAGCGTGTAGGCAGCCTCAGTGTAGTTGTCACAATCCAGGTGCAGATCACGGAGTTTGTACAGGTACCTGTTTGGGGGAAATTTGTTAGTTTATTAGGAGCAGTAGATGAGGAAGCAGCTGGGAGGGACAGTCAGGAATAGGCAGAACTCTAGGCACTTCTCAGGGTCACAAGGGAGCCCTCCATCCTGGCTGGCCAGCAGCTAGTGTTTGAGTGCTCACTGTGTACTAGGTACTGAGAGCTTTAAATGTCTTTTGCTGTTATGGGGTACCATCAGGCCAAACATGACTCATAGTGACCCTATTCACAAAAGATCAAAGCATTGCCTGCCCTGTGCCATCCTCATAATCTCTGCTGGGCTCAGGTCCACTGTCATGGTCACCGTGGCATCCTCTTCTCCCCTGCCATCCTTCTATTTTCCCCAGCATGATTCCCATTCCCAAGGACTACCTGTCTTTTGTTTATACAGATCCTCACAGCAACCCTGTGAGACAGGTCCATCTGGGATTTCCATTTTCAGTTTGTAAAAACTATGGCTGAAGAAATTAGGTTCAAGTTTTACATTAATTGCATAATATTCTCTATATTAAAGAGTGTGGCCAATGCAATATGACAAGTAAGAGAAATAATGGAAAGGAAGTGAAAAATAATATATCAGAAGTCTGTGTTCAAACAAATTGTTTTCAGAATCCATCATCTCATTATGTGATTCCAGAAGCATGAACTGGAAAGAGCAGCTCTTGCCCTCTCTTTAATGTTTTCTGAGTACAAATGAAATACTTTTCTTGCAAGAAAAGAAAGCAGACTTGTGACTAAGAAAGGTCAATATAGTTGCTACTGGACTGACTCTAATTCCTGGCAAACTCTGTGTGTCCGAGAACGACTCTATGGGGTTTTCAATAGCTGATTTGGAAGCGGGCCACCAGGCCTTTCTTCCAAAGTGTTTCTGGATATACTTGAATGGTAAATCTTTTGTTTAGAGGCTAAGGACTTAGCTTTTAAGCCACCTAAGGTTGAGTGAATGGAGTCGAGTTGCCACCAGGGATACTCCACTATTCAACAACAACCACATTTCCATTCCTGTCACTTTTTAAAATGTTGTCCTAGTTCTGAACTCTGGGATGACAACACAACTCTGGGTAGGGGGAATGTAAGGCAGCCAGGAATCCAAAATTGGAAAGAAAATGTTAGTTAATTCTTATATAATTGATCTCTAATCAGTATTAGGGAGCTCTGGTAGCCTAATGGCAAGAAGCTGTGTTGCAGTCCCAAAGGCATATGGTTTGAGGCCACCAGCTGCGCTCCGGGAGAAGGATGGACAGGCTCCTCTCATGTGATTAACTGCCTCTGAAAACCCACCAGAATGTCAGCTATGGGTGGGTTCTGACTCTACGGTACACAATAACAATGTGTGAAAAGGCAGTAACTCAGCTTCTCTGTATCTTAGTTTCCTGAACAATAAACAGGAAACCCTCACAGAACATACCTATAGGGTTGTCAAGAAGACCAGGTGTCATATTTAAAAGGCTCAGTAAGTGACACACTACATTACTGCTGAGAAATGCAACTCTGTACCAAGGGCGATGAGCTGTGACCAGCATTGAACAGTGACAGCTACTATCATTGTGAAGTAGGTTTTTCCAGAAAACGTTCCTCTCATTACTGTCAGAAACAGATCTGGACAATCACTGCCTTGGTGACTTTCATCATTAAAAGAATTTATTTAAGTCCATCTCTGAGGAATTTGGTGGAGGGAAGATGCTCTGATGTAATACCTTTAATCTTCCTTCTGGACAGAGAGGCTGTGTCTCTCTGAGGATGATACCCATACCAAGAGTCTACACCAACACCAAGGCTCCTCCTGACTTCTGCCTACTCTGGGATTGGGGAGCTGTCAGATATCTGCAGCAAACACGGGGCTTAGGGCTCATGTCTAGGTCTCTGTTAGAAGGAAAGCTTTGTGCCGGCAATGTCTCCAAAGAAGGAACTAGTGTTTAGTGTGTCTGGTCATATAAGCAATGAAGCTGAGGGGAAAGATGTAGGCTCTTGGGATGAGCCCTACTGAAAATTTTGGGGGAGGAAAGTAATCTACTTGTTATTTGCTAACTGGTGAGCCAGAGGACTCCAGTGACCTTTTATTCATTCTTTTGTCAGGAGAACTCAAATCCTACCAGGAAAAATGGAGGCACTGTTCTTGGTCTTTTGAAATTTACAGTCTAGTAGGAGAGATGTTCATGAATCAAGTTCTCAAACCATGGCAAATGCAAAGATGTGATTAGTCGTGTGGAGGGGAGGTCCAGAGTACTATGAGGGCAGAATTTATGAAGGAGTTGAGTGGAGCATCTTCCAGAAAGTCTCTACAGCAGGCCAGCTGGGATGTGAAGGTACATGGAGGAAGAGTGGAAACATCCCAGGTGGAAAGAAAAAGACTTGATTTACTTTCATTCATTCACCCAAGACATGTGTACTTTATTGTCATATATCAATTCTTTCTTTTAACAACTCTTCTACAGATGACAAAACTGAGATCCACCTTAAAATGGGCAGAGGTAGAAACAAATAACAAAAGTAAGTTGGGCCCTCAGCTATTAATGGTTTTTCCATATCTACTCCCCTAGCTTTCTGTCCATCAGAGTCACCAGGGAAAATGGACATGGTCTGCATGCAGGAGTTATTTCGCCTGGGGAACATCTTTAGAGACATCTATGTGTCTGGCTTACTCTTGCCTTATATCCTCCTTCCATTCCTAGTCTTTTGTTGTTATGTGCCATTGAGTCAAAACCAACCCATAACTGACCTGACAGTGGGTTTTCCCTGTGAGTTGTACGAGAGGAGACTGCCCATCTTTCTCCCATGGAGCTGGTGGATCCAAATAGTTAGCTGCACAACTCCTTACCCACTAGACCTTCAGAACTCTCTTAGTTCCCTGTATATCTGCATCCAAAAACTTGGGAAGGATACCCAGAGAGAGGGCACGCTTTCTATTTCAAGCTTCTTAGTTGGCATGGAGTCCTCTTTATGATAATCCATTACAGAATCTGAAAGAAGGCAACCTTTGGACTCAATCAAAGACTACACACTCAGATGTCTGTGGATACCAGATGGGAAACCCAGGGGATGATGAGAGGTGAGGGTGTATTGGTCAGAGTGCCCCAGGACTGTCTAAAAGGAGCAACAACTCCAGGCACAAGTTGCTGGGGCAGAATGAGGACCTACTGTCGCCACACCAGAGTTTTTTTTGGGGAAAAAAATACTAAGCAAAATGAGTATGAATAAGTGAATGAGAAAGCAATTTCTTTGAAAACTTTCATTCAAATCACAATTGAAAAAAATAAAAAGAGAAATGGAAAGTTTGATTTTTATTTAAAATATGTTGATTTTTCAAATTTGGCAACCACTTGTTTAAAAAAAATTGCTTTAAAATATTATGCCTGCCAAATTGAACAGATTTCCAGATGAGATTCTATTTACAGCTTCTAGTTTAGGGAAATGTGACTTTCCTAGATTACTATCCTACTCAAACCTCCAGAGTTTGTGGAAGACTGGGATTTGCCATCTGTGTTTCCAAAATGAGAGGGTTAGAGCAAGGAAACATGAATCAGGTACTTTATCTATATGATCTCATTTAATCCCCAAAGCCACTGAGAAGAGTAAGTAGACTAGAAACATTTTACAGATGAGGAAAGTATCCGAGAGTGATAGGGGGATCTATTCAGAGTTACAGGGAAAATAAGGTGAAGACCCTGGCTCTTTTGAACTCCGGAGCTTCGCAGTGCTGCACTAAGTTATGTCTAATGATGTTATAAGCACCATCATGGCAACCAATAAAGTGGTGGGTTTTTTTGGTCCCAAATAATACCTCCTATTTCTGGAATAATGCTATCAACTAAGTACTCAAAACTATCTGGAATTAACTGAGATTTACAGTCTTGAATGTATCAAATGTCTTTTGAGTGTGCTTACAACTTAACCTTCTGCTTCATTCCATTTCTGGTGCTCCATCCCTGAAGGACTGTGCAAACAGATAGATGCCCAAGAATTTTTCTAAAGAGATATTTATGACAGCAAAAAGTTGGAGGCAACATAAATGTTACAACAATATAGGACTGATTATATATAGTGTATTTTAGAAAGAGAACGTTATGGTTTCATTTTAAATGTTGAAATGAATTCTTGTGAAGTTATTAAAAAAACAAAGAATAAACTATGAACAATGTGATCATGCTATGGATACTGCAATAAATACTGAAAAAGTATGCATACACAGAATTTGATATGTTTATAAGTATAAAACGGTCTGGGAAAATAAATGGAGTAGGAGAGTTTGTTCCATTTTATTCTTCTTACTTGTCTATATTTTACGTGGTTTTGTGCTAGATAGAAGGCATTATTTTTTTAATGAATAAAAATAAATGTAATAAAATAATAAATTTAGAGAAAAAATACAGCATTCAGAAAAATTGGCGAAGTATTTCTTTGCTCCAGTCTAAGGTCCAAAAAAGAAACAAAAAAAAAATCCCTTCATTGCATGCCCAAATAAATATATTTGAAATGCCTACAATGTCTACCTCTAACTCTTGTTAATTTTTTTTTTCTTTCCCTTGAAAACTGAGCTGGCCAATGATTTTTCTACACTCCATGTTCCTTTGGGTCCAGATTATGGCTTTGCATGTGGGTCCTACAACAAATGCAGATGCAACATATCAATTCAATCCACAGGGTATTTACTCTTAAGGAAAGTATGATCTTTGGGCAGAGCATAACAGCATGCCAGGTCTGAAGAGGCTAGATTACAGAATGGAAGGATATGAGTCTGTGGAGATTGACAGGAATCAGATCACAGAGGACCTGAGGGTAAAGAAAAGCAGTTTAGAGTCTATCCTCTGGGCAGCAGGGAGCTATTGATGGATGTTGAGCAGGGGGCAGCAAAAGCACGTTTGTGATTGAGAGAATGAAACTCTTACCTTATATACATCTCTTCACGATTGTTATCTTTGTAGAAATTCTAGGTGGGGAAGAAAAAATAGTAGTGAGTGCTTTCTTTGTAGCACAGCAGGAATGGTAGAGATGGGGGCTGCAGCTAAGCTATTCTCTGCACTGAGAGGTGGGCTGCCGAGAGTGAGTCACATCCGCCAGCAGTCCACTGTGAAAGGCAGTTAGCTGGATCTGGATCGTTAAAACCCTGTACTCAGGCCTTTGCTGAGACAAACCTGGGGTGCAGTCAGAGTTCTTCTACCTACTAAGTGTTCTTTGAACAAATACTTACAACTTTCTGATCCTCGGTTTCTTTGTCTACAGAATTGGGGGAAACTGCCCGGTGATTTACTGAGGACACTGCTACCAGGCATGTTACCTCACCAGGCACACAGCGAGTACATCACGACTATGACCACTGCTATTGCCGTAACACAATTTATGGGCAGGACTAAACAGCTACTTCATTTTCCCCACAATGAGAACTATAAGGAGTTATGATAGAATCCCACAGCTACGACACTTAAACTTGACAATATCTAGGAAGCTCAATTCAGCTAGCTCAGGGAACACTTAGATGAATAGTCTTGGGCTCCTCCACTAAGCATTGCGATTTTTTTTTTTAGCGAGGATTCAATGAGTCCAAGTTTTGCTATTGAGAATTATTAAATACAAGGAAATTTATTTATACTTCCAGTATTTAAATAAAATTTGAGTTTAAAAATAATTACAGGTACTCACTAGTCCACATTTTATAATTAAGTCATCAAGTGTGAGGTATAGATTAGGACCTATTAAGTGTTCAAATTATGGCAGAAGTGGGAAAGGTTCAATGAAGACTTGAAAAAATAGAGTGCTAATAGGCATAGATAAGTGATAATTATATAATCCACATGAATGCTGGAAAAATATGGAACGCTTCACGAATTTGCATGTCATCCTTGAAAGCACTGCAATTTTTAAACAAATAAATATCTAAGAGATTCTGAGTCAGATAATCCTGTCTGATCGATCCATGAGTCACACAGTGAGAGGGGTCCTGGATTCCTCCAATGAGCCCATGTTCTAGAATAAGCAGCTGAGGTTCAGAGAAGGTGAGGAAAGGAGCTCCAGGTCACATGATCAGTGGGTGGCAGAGCCACATTAGACTTTGTCATCATTTTGTTGTTATGTGCTGTCAAATCACTTGTAACTCATAACAACCCTATGTACAACAGCTCACCCTGCTCTACCCTGAACCAACATTATTGTCTCTGACACACCTACTCCCATTACCCCAGTCACTGAATCAATCCATCTCATCAAGGGTCTTCCTCTCTTGTGCTGTCCCTCCACCCTCCTAAGCATGATGTCCCTCTCTAAGGACTGGTCCCTCCATGCAATACACAAAAAGTAAGTCAGACAAAGCTTCAGAATCATTGCTCCAAGAAGCAGCCTGTATTCACCCTCTCCAGGACAAACTTGTTTATTCTCCTAGCAGTCTATGGTATATTTAATATTTTTCTCCAGCACCAGATCTCAAAGGCGTCAATTCTTCACTTGATTTTAGCCAAAAGGCCGAGAAGCGATAAAAAGGCATCAATTCTTTTATCATCACTAGTCATTGTCCAGCTTGCTGATGCATTCCAAGTAACTGCGAAAACCATGGCCTGGATCAGACATATCTTAGGCTCCAGAATGACATTGTTGCTCTTCAGTATTTTGGAGAGGTCCATGACAGCAGACTTTTCCAATGCAATTTTTTCTTTTGATTTCCTGACTTCTGGCACCAACAGTGTTGATTGTGGAGCCGTTAACAGTCTCAATCTCTTCGCCGTCTATCATGATGCTACCAATTGGCCCAGTGGTGAGAAACTTTGACCTCTTGATGTTGACCTTCAATCCATATTGAAGGCTGCAGTCCTTGACCTTCTGCAGCAAGCACTTCAGGTCTTCTTCAGTTTCAGCAAGGAAGGTTGTGTCATCTGCATAATACAGGTTGTTGATGAGTCTTCCTCCAATCCTGATGTTACATTCCTCTTCATAGAGCCCAGTTTCCTGGATGATCTGTTGCACATATAGATTGAAAGAGTATGGAGATAAGACACATCCCTGGAGTATACCTGTCTGGAGTTTGAACCATGCAATGTTTCTTTGCTCTGTTCTGACGACCGCATCCTGGTTCAAGTATAGGTTTCTCATAAGACTAATCAAGTCTTTGGGATTTCCATTCTTCTCAGACCTTATCTCTCTTGGTACCCTCACATCCCATCCTCTTTTCTAATATCAAAAAGTTGTGTATTTGTTGCCATTGACTTGATATTGAGTCATAGTAATCAAAATGCACAGAGTAGGACAGCACCATAGAGCTTTCAAGGCAGATTACTTGCCTTGTCTTCTAAGGCCCCTTTGAGTGGATCTGGGCCACTAACCTTTCAGCAAGTAGCTTCACTGTTTGCATCAACCAGGGACTCCCAGGAGTAAACTGCCTATTCCAAGCTTTCCCTCTGGTCATATTCTAACTATCAAAGGATATTTTCTTCAACAACCTTTTGTGTATCCTTAGAGAAGAACTGTTAAATTTCTAGAAACCCCTCTTTATACTTTCTATGCAAATTGTACCTTAAGGAGTTATTAGCAATGACTTCCTTTCTGCTGTAATCAGATTTTTAGACTCCCCTTAGCACTTTGGAAAATCAATGGCAATATCTAGCTGTTAATCAAAAGCCCACAAAGGGTCACTCAGGGGGGCCCATAGGATAGGATTTGTGTTTCTGGAGTACTGAGGATGGCAGGGCACCAGGTTGGGGTGTGATGAATGTGGTATGATATTTTTGCCAATTTTATTCATTTAATCTACCTAGAGGAGGCTGGTAGGCAGGTACGCAGCACTGTGACTGCTGTTCTGTGTCTGGTGGCAGAATTACTGAGCACATGTGGTCTGTGGACATGTCCAGGAGAGGCCATGTGGTATAATGGTGACGAGTCTGGGTTTCATATCAGCCACTCTGTCCAGCCAATCAAATAGCAATTATTTGCAACCATCAATTATTAGTATAACTACAGTCTGTTAGGAAAGTACCAACACACTTTGAGCATTTAATCTTGAGACAGGATCTCCCAGTCTAATAAAATAGTGATTGTTATATTCTGCGTCTCACAGATAAGTAAGTTGAGTCTCTAACTAATGTTTTCTACTTGTCCTTTCTATTAGTATTTGGCAGAGTCAGAAGAAGTTGTTTTAAATCCAAACTCATACCCCAGCCACTTAAAAATGTCAAATTCTTTCTCGATGATCTGTACTGCTACTGGCAACAATAATTATTAATATTTTATGGATAAAGAAACTGAGGAAATACATTTTCCTGGATTAGCATTTACCTTTTTAAAACAGTATTTTCTCAGTTATATGTAAACTATTTCAAAGCTGTTTGTTTAGTAGTAACTGTAACATCTAACCCAAATACAAAAGCCAATGACCACTCTTAGATGGGAAACTAGTTTTATAGAAGATTATCTCTGCTGTTCCAAATCTGCAATAAAGTGCTTTGGGTATTGGGGGGAAATAATTTGATCAAGACATTGAACTTGTAGATAGCAGGACAGGGGTTTAAAACCATGTTTTGACTCCAAAGCCCATCCACTGCTTCCCTAAGAAGAATACTAATGAAAGCTGGTGCCAGGTGCATCCCACAGGACCCTAGTAAAGTCAGAACCAGATCTAGAAGGACCCGGACAACCCCACATACCAGCAGGTTGACAGTGCAGCTCATGCGGTTGTCTTTGCTCTCATCCGTCATCACGCCCCGGTAATCCAGCAGCTTCTCCAGGAGGCCTTTGACCAAGTTGACAAAGTTCTCTACAGACTTGGTGATAACTGGGTGTTCTGCAGCACATTCCATCAGGCTAAAAAGAGATAGGAAAGCAAGTGAGCTAAGGGCCAGGGGAGAAAGGGCTGGGGTGAACAGAGCTTGTGAAGCCCAAAGAATGGAACTAATGGGAGGGGGCCAGGGGGAGGAGAACAACCAGTTGCTGTTTCATGCTTTCCAACTCAGGGAAACCCCGTGTCCTATAGAGGAGAAGTGTACTCTGTAGAATTCTCACAGCCGTACCTTTTGGAAAGGCCTTTCCTTCATGGTGGCTCTGGGTGGATTCCATTCACCAACCTTCAGTTTATCAGTCAAGTACTTAACTTTCTGTATCACCACTGAATTCAAGGGACTGAGAGAACCCAAGTGTTCCTGCACTAGGGAGTTTTGTTGGTATAGTATGTTGTGCTGCAAGCCAAAAAGCTATCAGGTTCTGGGGATTTGAACTCACGAGCAACTCCATGGGAGAAAGATGGGCAGTGTCCTCTCATTAAGAGTTTTATCCTTAGAAACATTATGGAGAGTCATTATAAGTTGGAAACAACTTGATGACAGCTTGTTTTGGATCTATTCATTATTTTTTTTGCATATTTATTAGTCATACAGTGCAGCAATTATTTGTTTTCCACCATCAGAATGGCAAGAACAAACAAAACTCGAAAATACCTTCTGATGTGGAGAAATGAACAATTTTACATCTTCATGCTAGGAGTAAACTGCTACAAGGTTTTTGGATAGTAATATTTATAATATCTCACGATTGGACTGATTGGCCACATCATGATGAATGATGAAGAGACTGAGATAGTTGACAGCTTCAGTTTGCTTGGCTCTACAATCAACACTCTTAGTACCAGCAGCCAGAAAATTAAAAGAATTGCACTGGGAAAGTCTGCTGTCAGAGACCTCTCCAAGGTACTAAGGAGCAATGACGTCAGTCTGGAGACTAAAGTGTGCCTGATATAGACCATGGTCTTTGCAATCACTTGCAATGCATCAGAGAGCTAGACAATGACTTAGGGATGATATAAGGAGAGTGGATGATTTTGATCTTTGGTGCTAGAGAAGAGTATATATACACTCTCTCTTATCTCATGGTATATATGAATATACCATGGACTACTAGGAGAACAAACAAGTTCATTCTGTAGAGGGTGAGTCCAGGCTGCTCCTTGGAAGCAAGGATTCTGAGGCTTCGTCTGACATTTTTTGGACATGTTGTAAGGAGAGACAGGTCCTTGGAGAGGAACATTATGCTTGGTTGGGTGGAGAAACAGTGCAGGAGAGGAAGACCTTCAATGAGATGGACTGATTCCATCACTGGGGTAATGGGGATAGGCATACTGGGGACAATAAAATTGGCAAAAGATAGAGCAGAGTTTAGGGCTGTTGTACAGAGGATTGCTATGAGTCATAAGCGACTCGTTGGCATGTAACAACCACCACCACCACAAAAGGCTAACATTCACATACTCTTTGACCTAGGAACTCTCCACAGATATAGTCCCAGAAGTAGGAATGAATAGCTTTATAACATGTATAAATGATGTCTAGAGTTAAACAGCATGAATAATTTTAAGTGTCCATCAACAGCGAAATGGTTAAAAATTAAAGAATATTCACAAAACGAGATTCTCTGCAGCCATTAAAAGCATGAGAGATCAAAATATTTTGATATGAGGAGTTTCATGAAATATGTAGTTAAGTGAGAAAAGCAAGCCTCAGGATTTTGTTTTATTTAACCAACACACATAGAGCTTAACACGTGTTAGGCATATAGTCTAAATGTTTTACAAATACGAACTCGTGTAATACTCCATCACTATATTACGATATAGAACTTCAAACAATTCTTCATTGTCATTTGATGAAAGTTTACAGAGAAAATAGGTTTTTCATGCAACAATTTATACACATTTTGTTTCATGGCATTGATTACAATTCTCACAGTGTTCCTTCCTGCACTTGCTGCCTCTCTTCCGCCTTCCTCCCTGTCTTCCTGCTTTCTGATCTTTCTCTGAGCCAATGGTCCCTTTTGGGCCCATACAGTTGATTGATTGTTCTTCTAAGAAGAGCATACCTAGATAGTATTATTGATCATATTATAGACCTATCTACTGTTTGGCTAAAAGCAGAGCCATGTGAATGTGTTAGGGGTGGGGATGAGGTTGACAGAAGACAGAGGATTGTTGAGACATGGCTTTTGGAGAGGGGAAAATTAAGACAAGAAGAGACCAAATTATTTGTCCAAGGTCACACAGTTGGTATATGTCAGCCTAGCTCCAGGATCTGTTCTTTCAGCTACCAACCAACACCTAATGTGAGCAAGTTCATGTCTGCAGCATGCATCTCTGTGTGTTTGTAAACACACACAAGATAGTGAGGAAAGAAAATTATCCAACTCTTAATGGAGTTGCTTGCAAGAAAATTAGAGGAGTAGAGGAGAAAGATTTCATTTTAGTTTAAAGATTAAAAATTTGATAAATTTTACAATAACCACGTATGAAATCTGTATATTGAAACAATATTTTTAAAAAACTCATTACTAGGCATTATCAGTTACTCTGTACTATGATACTCATTGTTTGACAGGCTGAGGTGAGGCACGATACAAATATAAAAAGAGGCATGCCTATCTTCAGATAGCCCACATACTATAAATGAAGAGACAGATGGATTTAAATTTGGAATAATGACTATTGTTAGTTGTTGAATTGGTCCCAACTCATAGCTACTATTTACAGCAGAATAAAGTACTGTCCTATCTTGCTCCATCTCCACATCTGTTGTGATGTCTGAGTCCATTGTTGCAGCTACTCACCAATCCATCACCTTGAAGATCTTCATCTTTCTCACTGATTCTCTGTTTTACCTAGCATGCTTTATAAATAGATTAATGACTACTTATTAGTGGCTTTAAAACCAAAGGTCATCACTGAGCCAATATGCAGTATCATGACAGATGGAGAAAAGATGAACGTTTTCAATGATTTTATCTTGCTTAGATCCACAATCAGCACCCATGGTACCAGCAGGCAGAAGACTAGGAGATGTATACCATTGGGAAAGTCAGCTATTGGGGACCTCTCCAAAATACTGAAGACCAATGATGTTTATTTAAAGACTAAGGTGTGCCTAATTCAAGCCATGGTTTTTCCAATCGCTTTCTATGCCTCTGAGAACTGGACAATGAATAAAGATGATAAGAGAAGAATAGTTGCCTTTGAGTTGTAGTGTTGGAAAAGAATGCTGAATATCCTATAGATGGCGAAAAGAACAAACAGATAAGTCTTGGAGATAGTGAAACCAGAGTGCTTCTTGAAGGCAAGGATGGCAAAGTTTTGCCTCACATACTTTGAACATGTTGTTAAGAGATGTCATTGTTGTAGAATGAGGCTGACGTTGGGGTGGGGGTAGGACTGAGAAAAACTGGATAAATTATGTTTACTGCGTTGAAGCCAATGAGGGAGAGAA